AAAATACGGTTGCTCAAATTGAGTTAGTTTGAATCAGGCATTAAAATAGAAAAAACGAAATGCATGTATATGAACTTTTCAAAGAGGTTATCAAACAGCTTTTGAAAACAAGCAATTTAAACTGTATGAACAGTGATCAACGATCCTCAAGTTTTGTTATCTTTTCATTATAAAGGTACAGCTGCCAAATTAAAGCTTCAATATAGGCTGATTAAAAATTCATATGCTTTCAATGAAACTGAAATATAACTGATAATGATAGTCGATATCGGTTCAATTGCTAAATTCGCAGAATTTTAGACAGCTATATTATTGATATCAACGATTTACACGACATTGTTTTAAAAAACCAGTTAAATTACACTAACTATCATGGTGTTGAGAGAACAAGGTGCTCTATAAGAATCAATACTTTTGAACTAAGAACTCGTGTGGAGCTTTCTATGGATAATTGTAAATCATTTATGATTTTGTGTTTCAGTTAGCGTTTTGTGAACTGAAACCCCTTGAATTTGTTCCCTGTTTACGCATGGACTCAGTTGGGTGACCTTTATCCAAAATTCTCCATTACTTTCTACACTGGGTGTGGAGACTCTAGGAACATGTCACAGTTAGTAGTAGCAGTAACCATTAAGTAAATACAATCAGGAAATTTAAAAAAACGGTTACAGGTGCCTACGCGTAGCGAGTTTCAGAGCCAAAACAATTTTGGTAGTGCATTTTGTTGGCAAAATTAAGATCTCGTGGTTGTTTTCCAAGTTATATGATCAATATCGTGGCAAATCGACCACTGCTACCGGTGATGGCATAATGGGACTTCGCGTTGAAACAGTACAAAAATTGAGTAACGTTTTAAAATCAAATCAGTTTAACTTTTCATTCGATCTGCTTTGCTGCTTCTTCGGAAAAAAGAATGTTTGTAATACCCAGATATTAGAGTCAGCGTTGTGAGGGCAAATGATTGTGACTAATCCAAGGTTATCTCATTTGAATGCCAAATTTGTTTTCAGTCTTGTGATTTTTCTAGACTTCAATTTAATTTTTATTTTACAAGTGTCAAAAGTTTATTTTAAAATGAACTTTATCATTTTTGAATGTCCTAGTATTCCCTTTTGAATGTCCTAGTATTCCCTTTTTAATTCCCTATTGAACTATTTTCCCTTTTACACTTCCCTTTTGTCCTAGTTTTCCCATTTTTAGGTCTTAGTTTTCCTTGAAACTTACTAGCGCATCTTTTCCTATTAATTAACTGCAAACAAAAATAGCCGATTGCTAGAAGCACTGAATATTTTGATCAATAAGTTTTGCTAGAGCGCTGTGTGGGGCTATGAAGTAAAAGGTCGCAAAAACATGAGCATTGGCCTTATTTGAGTACGGTTGTCTTCAAAAAATGGAAAACAAACTTAAGCCAAAAAAAACTTTCCATCAATGTTTTCAAGTTTTTGTGCATAACTGTTCCGACCAGTGAAAATAGGGTGGAAATTTTGTCTTAATATTCCAGGCAAAATCAAGTAGCACAAATAAATGTCACGCAGCTCAAAGTTTTCCCAGTGTCGAGAAATAACTAAATGAGAATGTTAAGTTTCAGTCTAATTTTGAGCGGGTTAAGTAGGTCTTTTAACTAGATCTTAGATTGAAGATTTTCATTAAGGCAGTGAAAAACTAGAAAATCAAAGTTCATTTATTTGCGACAATATCTGTTGTCGATAATGTCTAATTCAACAATTTTCCACGCTTTTGCTTAGTTTTCTCATCACGCACAAAGAGGATACTAATGAATTTAAATTATGAGTGTGGTCGTGTGGTACTTATTTTTATGAGAGTGGTCGGAAAATTTTGTGCTTGTTGCACAGCAACCAATTTTCCTTGTTTCTCCGTGTTATCCTTGTAACCAATTTTTTTTTGAGTGCTAGCAAAAAGATGCATGAATCTTCAACAACAAGTTTTCTTGGCTAAAATTAATCGCTCGCATTACTTGCTCAAAATGGGAATTTTAGCGAGAGCAGAAAGAAATGATTGTTGCATTAACTTTTGAAGTTACAATATTTATTGCGGATGAAACAAGTGTACAATAATACTAAATATGACAAAATAATTCATCAATCACTGAATTTACTAAGATACAATGAAGATACCTGTCGATGTGTATTCCTCATTTTATTTAAATTTCTAGTTTAATTAAATTTTCTTTGAGTACAACCATTCAAAAGAACTCATGGAAACTGTATACTGTAAATGGCTAAATAAAACTGCATTGAGGAAAATTCTGGCGCGCAGAAGAATTTCTTCTCTTATGCATTTGATGATTTGGATTGAACTAACCATCTTCTTCAAAATTTTGTTTATTTCTTTCTAACCATCTAGGTTACCGAGAAATTTAACGGATTGAGATATAATTTTCGATGATTTTCTGAGTTTCTTTTTAGATGCTGAAGAAAAAATGATTAACTCAGTTTTCTCTACAGTGATAAAGGAATTTTTGAATCTTTCGAAATTCGAAAAAATATATCACATTGCAGCTCTCTAAGTTTCAAGAAAATTTTATGATCAACAATTTTTTTACAACCGTATGTAATAATGATTGGCACAGGAAAAATACTGAAACTCCTCGTGAATCTTTTGTGATCAAAATATTCTAAGAAAAAACCTCCATTAGTTTGTTTTGTCTCGAATGCAATTCAATTAGAGGGAAGCAAAAAATATTTATATTTTTTCCGTATTAGTTTTCAAGCATATGAGAGATATTGTAAATTATTGAACAATGCAGCTAACTCTTGGTTGCCCAAAACATTAATATTTTTAAGCTTATGAACAAGCAGACAAACTTCATTTTTAGTCATTTCACCTTTAGGATCGGGCATACAATTATTTCCGCAAGAAAACGAAACGCTGATAACCTTAGATCCCTGGTTCTGCAGCGATGCTCCTATAAATTCAATAATACAGCATGATGTTTCAAATAATGGGAGCAACGACCTTGTATTTTTTGGGAAACTTTAAGTTTGGCGAAAACTATTTATGACAGAGGTGAAGTTCGCATACACAAGCAAGAATATGACAAAGAAAAAAAACTTTGTGTCTACAAAATTTCTTAAGTGACGCACGGCAATTATGAGTCTACATAATTGATACTTGACGCAAGACAATTATGACACATTATCAGTACCAGTCAATTTTAGTAAAAATAAATGTACCAACTAACATGCCTCAATTAATAGAGCGGACGCATTTTAGCTAGTATACGAAAAGTTCATTAAATAATCCGAGCCTGCCCAGGTTCGAACCCTCTTATTTTGTTGCGAGTCTCCTTCCCTACATCTATGCTACAAATCCATAATACCGTGAAGCTAAAGTGCTATTTGTAATATAATAGTCTGTGTTTATATCCGTAGCATTGGATGTACCTAATAGCTGGTTATTGATCAAAATAAACACAGGTTGGAAAAAAGAAAGTTCTACTACCGCACAAGCTTTGCTTGTGTAAATAATCGTTCTGTTACAGCTGGTTGGCTAATCTCATGCAGAACTTTAAAAGGCAATGCAAACTTTAAAAGACCATACACATTTTTATGTCATGAATCTCGTTTGAAACACTTTCAAGCTTTCGCTTTAAGTAGATCATCTTGATCAGTTTTTTTTGGAACACGACTACAGAAAAAAGCGTGAAGTATCTGATACAACTTTAGACAAGCAGCCCGTTTTGTACTATTGTTCTAACATCAGCCATGTAATACTTGAACAGCGCTGCCCTTGGTTCGGAAAATCTTAATTTTTGGTCAACAATGACATCTAGACATTTGCACGATGAGTTTGCAGTGAAAATCATATTATTGATAGGAATATGAACTCAGGAAGATTTTGAGTTATGTTTAAAAGATACAAAGGTGGTTTCATCTGTATTTGAAGTTAACTTATTTGAAATTAACCAACCGTGGATGCTTGAGGTGTGTTGGAAATCAATTAAATTTCGGTTGCATGCTATAATGTTTGTATCGTCTGCAAAAAGGAAAACCTCCAATCTTTTTGAAACTGGGATTATCGTTTACATATATCAGTAAGAGGAGCGGGCGTAAGATAGAACCTTGAAAGAACCCCAACGTAACAGGCTCCCAATCAGAAGACACATCGTTAACTCGCGCACTTTGCTGTTAGCCAGCTATACAACCCTTAAACCAGTTGCGACAATCCTCAAACTCAATAGAGTTCTAGTTTTTGAAGCAGGATGATATGATCAACAATATGAAACGCTTTTCTCAGATCGATAAAGTGCATCCTAAATTTCATTTGAAAAGCAAAAGTTACACCCCCCGTCGAAAAACAAATTAATTCAAAAATAGGTTGGTCCTTGAAACGACGAATTACGATCCAACTAAACAAATAAAACATCAACCGAAACTATTGAAGCCGAAGAAACTTTGAAGCGAATAAAACAATGAAAAGCAAAAAAAATGAAATAAAAAATAAGAATTGGTTTACAACCAGCAATTGAAAAACATTCGAATAGAACGGTTTTAGAAAATGCAGAGAAGCTCAAAAACTATATGTTCGCCTGATATTCTATCAGCAAAGATATGCCAACTGATTCTCATCAAGAGATATTGTTGAACTGTCGCTAGATAAATAAGACAAGGCATTAAGACGACATAACAGTAAGACGACAAATGAGAGTTAAAACATGTAAATTGAACAATTAAACTTTAAGCGAATTATAGTTCTCAGAAATATAAGTGGACAAATTGCGTGTAGCGTCGTCTTTAAGTCCCACCAATAACGGTTGTCGTCTTAAAAGCTGTCGTCATATTTGCCGGACACCTGTTGAACCTGATAATTGTTGTGCTGAAAAAGCCGAAATTCCGATCTGACAAGGCTTGCAATTCGCAAGCGTTAAAATGCTCGAAAAGTCACATTACAATTACTTCTATCAAAAACTAGACGTAACAAACACTACTCATTTTGAGCTTCTACTTGTCTTGGAACCAGCAGAAATAATTTTTACACACCTGCTCTTCCGTTCCACTTAGAATGGCTTCCAGATTGTCGAACATTGAGAGCATCCTGGAATCTTTAATCATTTGTTTATTGGACTCTACAAAGGTCGACCTGATTCGGCTATTCTCCTTTTCAGACGAGGTCGCAAGGTCGCCTCGGGTTTTATTTCCATTTCGTGACGTCATTGCTGCTTTCGTAAGATCATCTTCATTCGTGTAGTCATCCTCTTCGTAGTCCATATCGAGAGCGTCTTCGTTAAGGTTGTGACTCGGGATCCGTTCGTGGCCCGCAGATTTTCCGATAGTAGTCTCAAAGAACATCTCTACAAAAGCATAGTTCGCAATCATAAATTTACTCACCAGCGGATTTAGACGGGGGGGGGATTCAGGAATTCGACTCCCTGCCTACCCAGAGGGTCCCTCCTTTGTAATATTTTGAGATATCCTTTTTTTTGGTGATAAGGCCTCAATATATAATGATTTTGTTTGCGGCGCAGAAAATTTGGCCAAAATCGGGTCTTTATAGTGATTTGGGAGAGCTCAGAAAATCAATTTGGTTGACCTATAAAAAGGTCGACAAAATTTTTGAATTTTTTTTGAAAATCCTCCCCCTCGAGAAAATCCTAGATCCACCCCTGAATTTACTTGAACCCCTTTCGAAGAAAACTTCAATTTGTCTTAAACATGTCGCCAAAAAAAGCCCGCTCATTTTTATGAAATATTTATAAAATTTTCGGTTAGATCATGATCGCCTGATATCCTTTTGATGAACTTTTTTAAAAAATGTTTTAATAGTCGAAGTGATTCAAATAGTCTGCCTTTCGTATAAAACACGATCACTTACCACTTGATTGCTCATTATTGGATTTGGTGACATCTTCAATAGGTTCATCTTTGACGGTGACGGCTAAAATATTCGATTCGATTGGTCTGCAGTAATAAATGATTGGGTCGGTGAAATTAGACAGAAGCAAAAAGATACGAAAATCAAAACGTGAAGACAAGACAAAATAAATAAAAATAAAATCAAAAAGGAAAATTTAGATAAAAATGCAGTTCTTTCCTAGTTAATGGACAAAAAAATTGTGATAACTTTAGACAAAAATTGATGGAGACAAAACTTGCTTGGAATTTTAGCAGAATTTTTGCGCATTCGGGTCCAAAATTTTACCCAAAAACCAAACATATTAGGCTTTTTATAGTCAACCAAAAATTACGCCAGAACTACCATACCAATTGATGACAAAATTATATCAAACTGATCCTCTTATGTAGAACAACAAATTTAAAGAAAGGTATACATCTTCTAAAATTTGTATCAATAAATTTATTTTTGCTTCAGAGTAAAAAAAACGTGTCTTTTACATTATAAAAATATTTTCAAAACATTTTTAAAATAGCCAACTGGCAGTTGGAAAAAGTAACGAACACAAGAAAGCAGAAAAAACAATGACTTTTAAAGTAAAAAAAATATATGGCATTAAGCCTATTTGAATTTCAAGACGAATTTATGTTTAAAATTTTTTGATAAATTGAATTCAATTTGAGAAAACTGGATTTAAAGGTACAAATTTTTTCCGCTGTGCTGCGAAACCTATAAAATAGAATCCACTTTCGCAGCTAGAAATTGTTCACGTTTTTTTCGCCATTTTCACGTTTGTATTTGGAGAGAGCAATTTACCTAGCTTTCAGCAGAAGAAAATGTACTGTGCTCAAAAAGTGCATATATATGAATGCGCATCTTTAACTATAAGAGTTTTTTAGAGTTTCACCTGAAAAAAAAATCACAAGACCTAAATAAGAGTCTTCGCTACGTACATTATTCAATAGAACTATTTTTATATAACTGAATTACTCATGGCTCATCGTGATACTCGTCTTGCTAGTACCACTCAAACTCCTTGTGGAAGTTGCACAACAACAAATGAGAAAGATGAGTCTATTCAATAAAACAAATGTGAGCTATCGATTCACCAGAAATGTACTGATATTTCTGCTATCAGTACATGGACACTGACACCTGGAAACTGAAATAAAAAACATGAAACTCAGGGTTGTACTTTTCGATTTTTTTTTGGGCTATCTAATAGGCTCCCTTTGATATAGTTTTGTCAGCAATTGATCCGGGAATTCTGGCTTAATTTTTGATTGACTCAAAAAGCCAAAAATGATTGGTTTTGAGGTAAAAATTTTGGACCCGAATGCGCAAAACGTTTACCCATAAAACTTAAGCAAGTTTTTTATCCGTCAGTAATAATCGCAAACATTCATAAGACCACTGATTCGATTGTCTATATATCATCACCCCCTAGAATATCGACCCTGTAAATTCTTTGGTGGGCGGTATCTGAAGGGACTCCATCGGAATTTATTACACAAAGGTGATGCGGAGCCTCGCAATACTTGGAATAGAGCAAACATTAAAGCGAAAAAACATTTAATGTTGAAAAAAAAACTTGGTGAATCAAAAAAGTTTTCGTATGTCTCGATAAAAAACAATTAGAGGCCCAGCTGGAGGTACGTGTTTGACATTGAATGAATTTGCTATCCTGATACGGCACCATGTGTGATTTCAAAAATTGGACTTTGCTTAAAACCTTAGTTGTTTCTCTACTAAGAAAAGTGAGACGATAGAAAAATTTTGAGATAAACAATTTTCCAAGGAGATAACATTTTTCCTACCAAAAATTAAGGAGTCGCCAATTCTGCAGAAACAATTGTCTCAATCAGTTCTTCCAATTGAAGTTTTCATCTCAGATTCCATTGAGTAAAGTTTAAGAAAACTCAAAAAGTTTCTAAAAAAAGGTCAAAAGACTTTCCAAAACCTACTAACTTTTTTTCAGCGAAAAGCAGATTGTGACAGCTTAAGCAGATATCATTTCCAAAACCGGGCTTCACGATTGAACAACTTGAGAATTGGCACGGCAGTTTTCACATTGACTTGCTTGAAGGCCATAACTTTTTCATTAGAAAATTGGGCATAGCCAATTATAAAGGTAGGCTTTCAACAACTGTTGTTTCGATTAAACGTAAGTTATCAGATACGACAGGATAGCTAGCGAGAAAAGTCCATGAAAACAGTCATCAAATCAATATTTGACATTACCGAGAATCATACCTTGTTGTGTGAAAAATTAGGGCGTAACCACTTATCCAGAAGGGATTCACGCAAACTGTAATTTAGAGTGAACCTAAAACCTCATATTGGGAGGGTAGTTCTTAAGAAAAGTAAAAAAATTTTTTTTTAAAAAAACGGATAAAAATATCAGAAGTTTGGCTTTTCCGAGGGCCATAACCATACGAAGTCACGTTCAGTAAAATTACAAATTGTAGGAGTAATCAAACAATAAAAGCAACATTAGAAAATGCGCACAAAAAAACGATTCCAAGATGTGACAACCTAGCCGACAACAGATAAGCAGACAAATAACTGGCCGACAATTTTATATGAATTAGAATAATTCCCGTTAAAAAAACAAGTCCTGGTCAGATTCGAACCCAGGACCTTTGCAGTACCAGGCATATTCGTTGCCTCCACGCTTAATGGGCCGGGAACGCTAAGAAATTTGACACAGAGGCGAAGTTTCACATCGCATACACAAGCAAAAGTATGACCGATAACGCTACTGGGAAAAATTGAATTAGTAAAACTTTGAGTCCACAAAAGTGACGCACGCCAATTATGAGTCTACATAATTGCTAAGTGACGCAAGCCAATTATGACGAATCCTCCTATTTTGTTGCGGGTCATCTTCCCTAAAGTGCTATTTGTAATATAATAGTCTGTTAATGTCCTTAGCATTGGCTGTACTTAATAGCTGGTTATATATCAAAATGAAAACTTTCAAATTAATCACATTTTGTCGCACAATAATTACGACTTAGGTTGAAAAAAAGAGAGTTCATTTTATCACGCCTGCTTTGCTTGTATAAATACAATTTGAAAAAAAGTACTGCTAAAGAAGAGTCCTGTGAACAAAGTTTTTTATGGGAAAAAAGTCTAGTACACGATTGCAATACCCTTGTTTATCGCAAGGGTAAAAAACAATAAAATTATACCCAATCTTAAATAAAATTCACACCCGAAAAATAATAGCTCCAAACTAACAAAAATAAAAAAAATCCTGTTATCAATAATCATTGCCTGTTTTGTTTTCCTTCAATGATGATAAGAATAATTAAAACCTACAAAAAAGCTTAGTTTCATCTGCTTCGTTGACAGGGATCCCGTTGCTCTCGCCAAGGTCGCCGATACCCTCTATGATTTCCTCTGTGCGAGTGGAAGCTCCAGACTCAGCCGCCGCCTTCATATCACCCTCTGTCTTCCCTTTCAGCTCTTGGCCAATTTCTGCTGCCTTAACAAACTCGTCGTACTTCAGTGGCTCATATTTGTGTCCGTTCTCTTTCAGCCACGCCTAATAGAAGCAGCAAAATTTGTTTTACTTCAATTCATAAAACATAGCCAATGAACGCAAGTAAACAAAAAAGTACTCTCAACTTTTGAATTTCCAATAAAAGCGCATTGAAGCTCTTTGAATTTCAAGATAAATCTATGATTGACAATTTTTTTCATAAAATAAACCCGATTTAAGAAAACTGCATCAATAGTTTAAAACTTTGTTCTGCTGTGAAATCTGATAATTAAATTTCATTTTCAAAAGTTTTCGCGACTGTTACTTTTACACTTTCGCTGTTCGATAGTTGAGTTTGCCTTCCTTTTAACGAAAGAAATGACCTGAACTTAATAAAATTAAAAGTCAAACCGCGAAAAAGTAAATTTGAGCGTGAACAAACTTATTTTAAGACTTTCCTGAAAAAAAAAAACAGGCAAGAAAACCATCACGACTTATAGAAAGAGTCTTTACAAAGTTAATTGTTTCTTAGTCAAACAAGTCTATTTCGTTGTTAGAGAGCGTAATTTGTCAGCCATTCGGCAAATGAATTAAATTTAACTTAAAAGAATTCGAATGTCAAACCGCGAACAATCAAATTTAAAAAAAAAACAATTTTAAGATTTTTCCTGAAAAAAAACCATCGCGGCTGTATAAGAGTCTGAGCTATTTTCATCTATTCTAGAAACCACTAAGAAAACAGACCGCTGAAAAATTGTATTTTAACGTCAAGATACTTGTTTTTAGGAATAACATCATTTTTTTCTATCAAGTATCGTCTAGGTCTGGTTGATTCTTTTATTCAGTACTTCTTGTGCACAGATTGTTTCCTTTCTTTTGGTTAAGGCTCATTACTTCCTTAAAGCTTGTGATTTCTTCTCGTTCAAAACCCACACAGCTCCCATATTGTGCTTTTTGATAGAAGCAGGGCCACCGATTCCGGTGACTGGGTCCGCTGTAGCTTCTAAAAACCATCAAACTGTGGTTTTTCATAGTAGTGGTATGGAGTCGAAATATTCCGTTTTTGTACATCAGCTGGACAACTCAGAAAAGGCGGGAAAACAGTTAATAGTCGTGTCTATCAGCCAGTGTTTAGGAATCAGGAGCATGCTCATATGATGTGCCTGTAAGAGGAAAAAGTCCGTAGAATTTAGCTTCCAGATGTCTGGCACAGAGGCAGAGACTAGTCATTGGGGTTACTTTTCAAGGACTGGAGAAAAGGTGGGCAGTATTATTGTAAAGTTGAGGCACAGGGGACATTTTTCGGTAGGTAGCTTCGTTCAGGTGTTTTAACTAAGAGATGAGTAAACAGAGCGAATTGAATGCAGGCTGCAGCGGGCCTTGCGGTTCAGTGTTAACTGTTCCTGTTCAAAAGTTTCACTTAGGTTTTCAGTATTTAGTGAGACAGAGGGTTGCATTCATTGCAACAGCTGTGAGCGTTTATGAGTCCGAATATTAGTCCATTAAAAATTCCGCGGTATGGTTTTGCTGTTTAAATTGAACTGTTTCTTGCAGAGCAGCAAAAAAGGGTTTAATTGTTTCAAGGCAGGGGGCAAGCGCAGTAGCCTTACCTCCGATGCCTTTGAAATTCCACTGTAACTGGCGAAGACAAGATTTGTTTCGGGTTGAATTGATTGGTTCTGGGGAGACGCCCTGAGGTCGCGGTTTCTGTATCTGGGGTCATAGATGTTCGGGTAGTTGCGGGATGTGCTTCTACGCACTGTATTATAATATCGAACAGTAGAGGGTTTAATTGGAGGAGTTTTGGGTTCTGGTGTGAATTGTTGGTTATGGGTGAGGATAGTCTAAGTTGATAATAGATATTTAATGAATGGCATGAACTCAACTACGTGCAGTAGTTCCAGGTGGTTTGATCACTTGCAGTAATTGTATTGTTGGTCGATTTATCGCATTCGAATAGAGTTCACATGAGTCTAGCGGCCGAACTGTCACAATAACTGTGATTAAGAGCAGCAGACGGGTCTTTAACAAGGCGCAAAATTGAGTCGTAAAGTTGCATAAAAGTTCCCAAAACGGCCTCGAACACCCTCTCCTCAAAAACAAACTTTCCTTGTAAGCTTACCCTTCCCATGGACAGCTATTTCTTCGCACGAAAAATGGTTCAGAGACATCTGACCCGTGCGATACATGTTTTACGGTTACACGTCTTACATAGAAGCGTCTTTTGTGGAACGTTTTCCTTACGATCAGCGTATATAGTGTCAAAACATTATTCAACTTAGAATGTACGGAGGCACCAGTTATTCTTCTTTTTAAAGAAATTCCATTTGATTGATCAATGCTTTAAGCTTAACTAAAGCTGTCTGGCCACGATAAATTTGAACAGAAGCTTTCGAGTTCTTAAAAGTAATACATCTCTTACTTTGCTATGTCTCCATTTATCTCCAATCGAGAATATGTTGCGTGGAAATTAAAAGAAAAAAAAACACACCCGAATACCAAGTTCCTCCACATTTTCAATGGTCGGAACAGTAATCAAAAACTCGGAAATTTACCCTTAGATTTTCCCAGTGAGCTTTGTTCTGACAGTGATTAGTTTTGGCGGGACTCTCGTTGTAGTAGAACTTCTCGCACAACACACAGTACCATCCAGTCACTGGTACTATGAAATCCGGACCCATTATAAGGTCTGGATTGTATACTCGTACACGCCACCTCTCACCCGTGTAGTAGAGTCCTGGAAACCTCTCCGGGTCGTCCTCTGGCTAAAAGAGACAAAAACTGATTTGGACTACATTCCCTATAGGAAACCTTCTTAGCTGAGAGCAGTTATTGTATCCCTCTTCTATTTTGAGGAGTACTTGAGTTCTAGATGAAACTTAGCCTTTTTTGCTCCGGCCCTACCCACTGCAGACACTACCAGGAAGAGGGTTATCCATTTCAACGTAGCCGTTTCCACCTTGAAATGAAGCTCGAAAATGTTTCTCGAATATGCTGCTTGCTCACCTTTACGTCTTTTACGGCGTCCACTAGCACTCCGCTGAAACAATCAAATATTAAAATTTGACACTGTAAGTGACATAAAGTTTAATGTGTAGTGACAAAAATGAACTAAATTCAATGAGTCATCTAACTAGTTTCAATTTAGAAATCTCAAAAATATTCGGATAACAACTACAGCTACGACACCAAGCTTTCCCATCCCGTCAAAAAGTATTGAATATTTATGTACGTTGCGTCCTTTGATGCGTCATCATTTCCAGATTCCTCTTTTGCCATTAAACCGGCGACCTCTTCTTTTGCCTGCGGATTGCTTCGTGAACGTAAGAACTTCTCGACTAGTTCATCCATTGTAGTCCCGCTGGACTCGCTGAAGGACTGCAATTTCTTCATGACGTAGATGTGCTTCTCGTTCTTCTCTTCGTGTTCAATCTTCTCCACTGCAGATTTAAACTTCACATTGCATAATTCACACTTCCACTCCTGCTGCACTTCTGTGACAGGAGACTTCGGCTGCAAAAAATTTAAGATGAGGACTGATAAAGCTCAATACAAATATCTACAGCCACCTATCGATTGCATATTCATATTCAATCAAAGGTACTCATATTCAATCAGATGCAATCAAATGGACCACTGTTCAAGTAAAACATAGAGATCGCCTTATTTGCCGGAAACCTTTTGGCACGACGCAACACACAAGCTCTGAGATTGTATTTCTGAGAAGCTGAATTCGCTTAACTTCGAACAGTTCAATTTACTCTCATTTGGCGTCTTAATGTTATGTCTTAATGTCATTTTTCGTCTGTTATTCTTTTTTGATGACTGTAGTCGATGATTCCTTATTTACTAAGTTTTTACGCGTTTGTATAGATTTGTTATCACACCACGTACAACAAACGACACCAATTTGACGAACATAATAATTTGAAGAACTTTTATTTGTAGTTTTTATGATTATGGTCGGAACATTCTGTGTTACTTTCAGAGCAACCGGCTATCCTCGTTTGACTTTCGAATTATTATCCGCGCATGAACGAAACTGGCAAGACTTTTCATCGCAAACTCCAGTTTATGGATCTTTTCGATTTTTTTTCCAAATTAGGGCAAAATTGTATGTTTTGTCATACTTTTTCTTACATAAATAAGGGTGAAAAAAGTTGTAAATGATGTAAACCAATTCATAATGATTTTCCCACGGTGTTGACACAAAAAATTTCCAGATCGCATTTTTTATAATTAAAAGCTGTTATGTGGATACATTTGAAATCATTTCTCTTTTCTGAGTAACAGCAACAACAACAACAACAACAATAACAGTGTATCAATTCATTTACACAGAGGCGAAGCTGCGCTCCGCAAACACTAGCGAGAACACGACAAAAAGAAGCTGCAAAATGCAATAAGAAAAAGTGAAATGAATCTCGAGTTAGTAAAAATTCGACGTCTCGTATTCGATCTGCAATCAGGAGATGATGAGTCTCACGCATTAACCACTCACCATGGACGCTTAATTAATTACAATAGCCACAAAAAAGCAGAGAACAGATTTTCTGAAACTTCGAATGCTACAGATTGAGATCATAGCGCAAATGCCACCAAACAAGTGAATACTTTTAATCAACGCGTTTATTTGCGAGTTAGGTTCGTACTAATACACTGCTCACAAGCTCGCAATGTAAATATGGTTTATGTTTCTCACTAACCTTTGTCTTGCTTGGACTTCTTTCTCGCTGACTGCGGGCCCTAGATCGGCTCCGGTTAGACGAGGACCTGTCTCTGCCTCGAGAGAACTCTCGTCGATTAGGTCCGAATCGATCACCCTTAGAACGAGATCGACGTCTGGGTGGTGACCGATCCCTCTAAAATAAGAGGAAAATCGGTTTTTATAACATTTCCTAATCTCAAGCTTATATAACATCATTCTACGTCGAACAAAATTTCGACTACAATTGAGAAATAGTCAAATCAATCTGTTTAATTTTTCATGAAGCTAATAATTCATGAAGATAAATTGTCGGTTCTTCGCTTTTTTTTAGCAAAAAAGGACCAATTGAGCATTCCCCTCATTCCCGCGTGGCATGTTGACAATCGTTTGAAATTAGTTTCAACGCAGAGGCGAAGCGGAGCTTCGCACCACTTGCGATTTAACGCTATCATAAAAAAAAACATGTTGACAATGTTGAAAAAATTAAGTGAAAGCTGGAGGTACGTGTTTGATATTTTGAATTTGTTTTACCGATGCGGGACGAAATACGTAATTTAAAAAATTGACTTTGCCCAAAAACTTAGTAGGTTCTCTTCTAAAATAAGTAATAGTGAAAAGATTTTGGAACTTTGCCGAAGACAACATGTTTCTTACAAAAAATTAAGGAGTAACTGCTTCTAAAAAAAACGGTCTAAAAATTTCTAAAAACGGTCAAGTTCAAAGACTCGATTTTCTAAAGAATGCAAAAAACAAGTCGTGGTCGGTAAAAAAGAGAAGACTAGAATAATCGGGTTTCTCGATTGAACACTTAACATGAGAATTGGCACGGTATTTTTCGAGTTAGTCAAACAAACTTCCGAAAAACGGTCAGTTTCAAAATTTTCACTTGTTGGAAGGTCATACCTTTTTTCTTAAAAAACTGAGCGCATCAAACTATGGAGATAAGCTTTTAACAACCTCCTGTGTCGATTCAACCAATGATATCAGATTTGGCGGAATAGTTATCGAGAAAAGTCCACAAAATGGCCAAAAAATCAGAAAGTTAACATTTCCGAGAATCATGACTTAGTTTTAAAAATTTGGGCGTAGCCATTTATGCAGAAGAGATTCATTCAAACTCTCCTTTCAATTGAACCCAAAAATCCAGTTTGGCTGGGTAGCTCACGAGAAAAAACGAGAAGGTAAACAAATCAAATTTTTGACTTTCCTGAAAAAAATTTGGTCGTACTCGCATATGCAAAGGAGCTTCACACAACACGTTCTTTGGATTGAACCCAAAATCTCAGATATGCGAGGGTATTTTTGGCACAATTCAAAAAATTTAGAAAACAGGATTTAAAAAGTGACATTTCCGAGGACGATAACTATTTGTATTAAAAAATTGGAAGTAGCCGTTAATTTAGGAAAGCTTCTTACTACCCGTTATCTCCACTGAACCCACAACCTCAAGTTTGGGAAGTTAGTTTTCGAGAAAAGCCAAAAATATTCAAAAAAGTCCAAAAAATCCTGTATTAAGAGGGTCATAAATTTATACTTAAAAAAGTTTCAGCGTAGCCACTCAGAGGGGAGCTTTTCAAACTCGTTCTATTCAATGAAACCAAAATTTTAGATTTGGTAGGTTAGTTTTTGAGAACCCCTACAGATTTTGTCGAATGCTATAGACAAAGGTGCAAAACAAAAAGAGATCAGGTGAGTATGAAGGCACACAAGAAGGTAAAAGATCTTGCTGTGGATACCTTTTTTGAAAATTGGTAGCTCTTTCAGAAAAAAACTTAATTAGTAAACTTGAAAATCCTTGAAAAAATAACTTGATAACAAAGGCGACAAACATTGGAACGAAACTTGTTAAGCCCAAAAAAAACTGTTGTCATAACAACTTTCATCAAATTTATAAGTTTTTACGACCTATCCAAACTGAAAAACATAATTCCAAACGGATATATTCTGCCCTCGAAGTTACGCAAAATAAGTTGACTAATTCGACATAACAAAAACTGAAACTGTTTGAATCACCAGCGGATTTAGGAAGGCGGAGGCCCCCCTTCAGGGATTCGACCCCCTGCCGACCCAAAGGTTTCCCCCTTTGTACTATTCTGAAATAATTTCTTTTTGGCCGACTGAACCTAAAATTTTTCTTAAGGCGCCAAAATAATCTAACTTTAAGGGGGAAGCGCGCGCCAAAAAAAAACCAGTTTTTGGTCAACATTTTCCAAAAAGTGCCTGAAAACGCCTTTTGTGGCCTATTTTTTCAGCGGCGCAGAAAATTTGGTCAAAATGGGGGGTCTTCATAATGATTTGGGAGAGCTCAGAAAATCATTTAGGTCGACCTAAAAATAAGGTCGACTAAATTTTGAAATTTTTCCGAGAACCCGCACCCCCCCCCCAATTAAACCAATAAAAATCCTACCAGATATAAAATGGCGTTTAAAAAAGGGAAATTGAACCGACAGAAACTAAGACGAAAACAAGGAACCCGAAAAAAAATTTTGGAAAGATAATTACAACCTGAAACGAACTAATTACTAGCTAAGTGATAGTACGTTTAATTGAATATTCAAGAAATGGAGCATGTCAGATGAAAGATCCTCGAGAAGTAAACATACTGCGGACAAAGTTGTTTACTTATCGCAAGGGTAATGATATGGAGCCATGAGCAGATTCCTCAATGAATGTAGAAAAACAAAAGTCACTATATCAAATCACAAAAAATTTTTCAGAGTGAAAAAATCAATAAAACTGATGCATATAAAGCCTACTTTATACGCCGAAAAAATCAATAAAACTGATGTTTATAAAGTCGACTTTTTAAATGACAAAAATTGGCATTGCATACAATATTAGGGAATACAATTTTTCTCGATATAAATTAACCTTAAGTCGGTTGCGTGCTATGAACATCAACCATCTGCTTGCGTTTGATAACGTCTTTTCTAGCGTTTTACCGTTTTTGCTTCGGGGATAGCCTAATTGGTTTTTACGGGGGGGGGGGGGGGGTGGTGGCTGTTTGTTTTGTCGACGAAGGATGAAGCATCAAATTTTTAAAGTGGAAAGAACACTTCCATTACCACTCTGGGTCTTCCTGGTGAATCCCTCCGATATCGATCTCTCTGATTTGAATCACCTCTTCCTCTGTCATCTAACCCTCGCCTGCCGCCATCATAGCCCATATGACGGTCTCGACCGTATGAACCTCTGTTACCTCCTTCGCCACGACTATTGAGAGCCTCTTGCACTTCTCTTCGGTTCATGTCCAAAGTCCTCCTTGAAAACAAAAAAAAGATTTACTCTCATGCTTGAAACTTTTTTCCCTTCTATTTTGTCGTCAGATTGCGTAATCTTATGATTTTGCAAGGTGTTCTTTTCCATAGTTTATATTTTTCCCAACGCGGCTTCCTTCTTAAAGAATGGAAAATAGAAGCTTCTAAAATTATGAGGGTTTAAGCCAGGTTGGCCAGGAAAAATCAGGATCGAATCAATCTTTCTCTAGGGGAGCGATGTCACCAACAAAAGCAAGAACTGCTAGTCTTTACACAATTCGGAAAACGAGTCACGTCGTAAAGCCAGTCGCTTCATTTATTGGCATATGGTGCAAGTAACACATTCAGATTTTTCACTGAATGAATGAGTCATTGAAAATTAAACGACAGGATCTGAACTCTCAAAGTCACGGTCAGGGAAACACAATGAGGAAAGATTTAGTTTTCAATATTTATGAGTTATTGAATTTCTTATCGCTTCTGCGTCACAAATGGTTTTAATCGACCGTGGCTTTTCTGCCCATGTTCAGAGAATCCACATACGTTATTTCAATTAACCGACCGCTCTTTGATTTATCAATTATTTCACTGTTTTCAATTATTTCACAATTATTTCAATTGATGAATCAATTATTTCACTGTTTTTTGGCGATTAGGATGAGTACTGTTTGAGTGAACAACATGTCATTTCAACCATTACTTTGTTCAGAGAATTGAAAGGGAACTTTGTTTTCGGGTGTTTTAGTTTTTTGTTTTCCATGCAAAATCAGGTACAACAAATAATCATCAGAACGCGTCGAGTGATATATCATATTCAACCGTTTTCAGTCGTGATTTGAGCAACATTTAAAAAATTTCAAAGTTGTCCCAGTGTCAAGAAAAACCGGTTCTAAATTTTTTTTCGCTTTTAGTCTTCTTATTTCGAGCGATTAAAGCAAGCGAGCAGTTCTATTATAGAAGGATAAGCCATGAAACTTATCTTTTCCTCCAGTAAGAAAAATGAATTTTTAGGGCCGTTTTTAGAATTTTTTTTTTTGAATTTAGAATTTTTTACTTGTCATTTTTCGACAAAAACCGTTGCCCGATTTGCTGATCTTTCTTCGACTGTCGAATAGGCCTAATTTTCAAAATTTCGTCAGATCCTTTCATCACACTACGCACTAAAAACAACTAGTTTGAAAAGAAAACATGAAACAATAACGCAATTTTTAAGAAAATGGTAGGAACCTTCTGTGCTACTTTGCACAGCAACCGGATATCCTTGTTTTTTATTTTGGCGTGGAGATTATTACTACTTGATCATTTCTGCTAAATTTTTGAGATTACAATCGGAGAACATCGGATGCGGCAAATTAGAAAAACGAAAACGGACCAGCGTGTTAAAGAAAATCGCCATTTAGGGTGACTGTTGATCCATACGTGCGATCATGTCAGCTCAAGAAATTTGGTAGCAAACTGGCAATTCGCCAGAGAAGCAAAAACCCTAGATCTACTCGGCAGCCAAGTTCAGTTTTTTTATTCGGTCATCGTGCATCGGTTTGAACATCAAATGGCTGGACGATCGTTTGCATTGCATTTTCATAGGTCAGTTTCTGAATCAAAGCAAACCAAGTGGTGGGCGAGGTTGACTCAGACAAAATTCGACGTCTTTTAATTGTCAAGAAAGTCGATCTCGTCACAGGCCAGAAAAGCCATCTTTCGAATTTTTCGGCTTTGAGGGTAACAGCTTTGAATTGCTACAGCATATGATTGGTCCAGCAGGTTGCAATCTTTAGCTCGGCAGCAACGCAACAGATTTTTGACAATGTTCCATCTGGGTCGAGCTCTAGGAAACAACGATGAAAGGCGTTATATTCGCTAAAAGTTAGGAGGCACTATTGGGTTTCAAAGCAGGCAAAAACTCACCCGCCCAGTCACATATCAGGGTTGCCATGGGTTTTCAACAAAATTTTTCCGCGACATCCATGATATTGAAAGACGTTTTCAGTTATTCTCCATGACATTTTCCTTGAAATTTAGTGTAGAAATTCAAAAACTTTGCAGACAAAATGTTCGCATAGATTTGGCAGAGAGAATATTACATGCCGAATTTATACCAAACGAGCAAGAAGAAAAAAACTTGTTCCCTTAACTTGAGGAAAAAATATTCCAATTTGAAATTCCTCTCCATTCCAATTTGAAAACTCCTACTAATCCATAACGTCAATAACACTGGCAACCCTGCAAATTGTCCCAAAAACTGACAAACATATCTTTGAAAACTGTCAGTTTAGAAAAGAAATTTTCGACAACAGACTACTATCCAAAATTAAACACATATTATAAAAATTCTTGCTGCTCTCGAAGATTCTAAAGAAAATACCGAAGATTGAAAAGCAATCATACGACAAGAAATGAAACTTAGTGCGCTCATCAAAATTAGTTTTTGCAAGTATAAAGCACAAAATGAGATAAAGTTACAAAAACTACTCACATGTACAGCTAAGCTGCATCAGTTTCGCTGCTCCAACACATTCCGACGATTTTCCGCTCCAGATTGACAGATCTTCGAATATAAATAGCAACGCAGCATACCAGCTAAAATAATAAGGTGTTTTCACGTCAATACAAACCTCAGTAAAGTCAACTCATGTTCTCGCTTCAGCCGAGCAATTTCTTCTAGCTGTCTCAACCTTTCTTCTTCAACTCGAAGTAAATGACTGCGATCATATCGAGGAGCGTCGAGTAAAGCAGAACCGCGGCTTGATCCGGCATACCCCTCTTGAAGATCAGGAACATCACGAGGTCTTTTAGCTGCCGAATTTGAATACGCATAAGCTTCTTCTCCCCTTTCATCGTAATTGGATCTTTTAGTAGGATTGCCTGACGGGTAGTTGTCTCTGTAATTAGAAGAGCGACCTCCGTAATCATTAGACGAGCCATAAGAATCCCTTCCTCGGTTGCCATCATTGTATCTGCTATTGTACATATTCCTGAAAACTTTGTACTATAACAACTCTTGCGTATATATTTCTTGCTGGCAATGATTTGTGCTCTTATCAATATATGAAAAAATATCAAGGTCGGATGCGTAAATTTACCAATTTAGAACAAACAATTGTATAAACACATCACAGAAATTCCGTAGAAGGCCCGTAGTGAAGCTTAGGCTTTCGAGGCTTCCTCCTTTTCCTTCCTCTTTTTCTCTCGTCGTCCAAACAGCCTGGCGTCTGCACGCGCTCTTCGAAGTGCCTGGTAGGCAACAAACTTTTTTTCCTCATCCGTGACAAGTCTTGGAGCCTCCGCAACTCCCTTGTTGCTGATAGGCATTATCTTACCCTTATGCTGTACATGGCCCTCAAACGAAAGGCCCTTTTTCTCTCGCTTTTCCTTGTTCATAGGAATAACGGTAACGTGAGCTAGGTATTCCTTAAGTCTTTCCTTGTTGCGGTCAAGACCCTCCTGACTTTTGTTAGTCCTGCGCTTGTCCAAAGCGATGCCAATTGCTCGGGCATAAAGTGGTGTCAAACCAGCAGCCAGGATTTCGGCTCGCGTAAAACCTCGTCCCTCGCGGAGCTTGAAGTTGTATCGACGCGTAGGGCAAGACACAGCAGGCTTAAGTGATCCCTGAGCAGGTCTCAATCCAAGCTTCTTTGATTTTTTAACTCGGTTGACATGACGCCTCCACTTTCGGGCTGGCTGATTGAACCAAGTTTTAACTCGTCCCTGCCAATGTTTTCTCAGGTGTACAGATGCTAACTGGTTGTTATGCTTCATATTTTAGGTCTGAAATAAAAGCTTATCAAATGCTGAATGATGCAATGAATTCAATTATTCGAATTATACGTATTAGTTCAAGAAAAAATATCTTAGTTTTTGGACAAGCGAAATAATTTCAATCAGTGTGGAAATTACACTGAGGCGAGGCGGAGCTTCGCACCACTTGCGATACAACACAATCATGAAAGCATAAGCCCAAAAAACATGAAAACGTTTTTTAAAAATTAGATGAACCAAAATTTTCGTGTGTCGATGAAGTGCCCAGCTTAAGCTATGGGTACGTCTTTGACATTTTTTTGAATTTTTTTATACTGATGCTTGTAACATTCGCCCGGAAGAACATACCGACGGAAAATAACGCTAGGTCCTAAAACGACTGGCTAGCGTCTAAACACAGTTTCACATGCTTGAAACTGTCTCTACCAAAGCCAGATCAATGTGTGGTCCATTAAAATCGGGTCGACAAAGTCATTACTAGTTAAGGCTACCGGCCAACCCACGCAAGTTAACTTAAACACAAGCGAAACTAGTGAGCTCATGGCTGGGTCTCAGTATCCCCAGACCACGAGGTCACTCCTAAATACATATTACTATTGTTTGTGTTCAAGAGATAAAAATCATCATATCCATCGGAGATGGATCAACCATTTTCTATGGACTCCTAGCTTCTCATTATCTGATGTTATTTAAATCAATTCATGACATTCCAAGAATCTAAAAATTGTTGATATTCATTATTTAATTTTTATCAAGAACCTTCCGACTTCTTGAATCCGGTCGAGGATCTGTCTTGTTGACTACCAGGAAGGGTAGCAGAATCCTCTAAAAAGCCCTACTGATTCTCGGGAATTGCTCCGTAACTATTTTAGCTGCACACTCGTTACAATTCGGAGTGCTCTTGTGCTATTATTTTCGACTATAATTTCTGTCGTCTCTCGTCAGTCGCACGTCTGTTTTGTATCAGCGAAAATCATTGTTCTGATTTTCGCGGCTTTTCAGCCCTCGCGAAAAAAAAAGATCACGTGTCTTCTTTTCGAACGATTTTTTTTTTAAAAAAGCATGTCAGTCCAAAATGACCCTTTCCAATCCGTTGATTTTGTCAAATAAGACCGTTAATCATGGAAACTGCTCCTTCGTACAGTTGAACTACAACCATTTCTTGGCAACATTCTGGTCGAATGGCACAACTCCCCAGACAGCCCCGGTCAATGTCCTCATTGAACTGCGAGTAACTCATCAAAATGGTACAGTGTCATCGAACAGAATTTTCAAAATGCACAAAAGAAATTTATCCACATTATACGGATTCACTATGTGCTACAAGTGGTATCATACTACATGGCCAAAGCCTTCTAACATTTTTCACTACTCTGCACATGAGGATATAATTAGATAATATTTGCTTTCTGACTTCCATTGCCAGTTCCCAATTGAAACGTTTCTCCAGGACAGTCCTGCCAACCAGCAAAGTAAAATTATCCAAACATGCTTGTTGCTTTGGAAAATCTAGTTGTTATTGGTCCTGAATAATAAAATTAAAAAACGCGGTATCTGGAAGGAGCAATGAAATAATCTCTTTCATCAAGACATTACTTAAGTCTTTCATATTACAACAAAGTGAACAGTCATTTTACTTGTCTAAAAACAATCATGCAGGCTGGAAACAATTGTATATTTTTTCAACTCAAGTCTTTCTAAACATATAGTAAGTATCTCTAAAAACACTAGCTAAATACATAATGCAACTTTATAAATGCAACACATTTCAAACACAAAAAAACCTAAAAATTTTTCTTTCATCAACTTTTGTGTTCAAGCTTAGTTGGTTGGTTCCTCATTTGAGTTTTTCTCGCACATAACGTTTTTAAGTTTTAATCTCTTCTTCTTTGTTGCTCCTTTGTTCCTTTTTCTTTTTCATTTCTTGTCGTTTGGAAAATCTCAAACTTCTAAATTCTTCTTATCTCTCTTTTGCGTCTTGTCTATTGTCTCTGCTCCATCTCCTCCTCCTGTGATATCGACTCTGCACTCTCGATCTCTGTGTCTTGTATCACATCAATGGCCATTCTGACGCTGTTGGAGCCAGTCCTCCAACACCTCTGCTCTTCTGTCCTTTAATTGCATCAAGGTAGAGGATCTACATAGTTTCCCTATTTCCGCAGAAGCTGTTGTGGAGGCACAACGTCACATTTCTCTCCAGATCTTCTTTCAATAATTTTTCTTTTTCTCTACCATCGCAATGAATCAGTTTGAACGTCCTCTTCACTGCGGTATTTACTGCATTCCGATGTGTCACGAAAGCTTGGTTGAAAGATTGAAAGATGAAAGCTCCGATGTGTCACGAAAGATCCTATGTTCAACTGGTACGAACTGTATACTCTGCATGTGCTATGACAGATGCTTTTTGGCATACTCGTACACGCTTGTAGTCATGTTGGCTCTGACCCATGGCATCAGTCTCCTTCTGGCCCAAATCTTCTTTACTTCCATCGGAGTGATCAAGATTTTGCACATTGTCTCAAAAAGATCTAAGTTTTTTAGACAATCGAGTTCTTCCAACTGTTCTTTGGTCGGTGCTTCCAGTCGAATAATCTCATTAAAATGAATTTTCAGCCATCTAATCGCCATCATAACTCAAACTATCAAAATTGTTACGGGCTGTGATGAGTCTAGTAAACCCATGGAGAGCAGCTCTCCGGAATCCCATATCAACACCAGATTACTTCGCCCAGGATACCACCATGTTTGTAGCAAATAATGGCATGCGAACTTATCTTGTTCAACATGATGCTTCTTCATTTTCGTTTTCCTGACGCCTCCACCAGTGGTTCCCTGGAACTGCGGCAAAAGTCTTACAGAGTATTTTGTAATTTTTTTTACGACATTCTCACAAGTCTTACCCATTTTGGCACTGAGAAATCTTGATCTACTATCGGCCTTGTGCTTTTTACATTCACTACTACGAAGTGTACTGGATATTGGCTTTTACACATCGGATCAATCGTCGATTCTACTAGGTATCTAGCTCCAGATGGTCTGCGATAAGTTTCACTCGGCCTGATTTTCATCTCCACTTTTTTGCTTCTCCATTTTCTGATTTGCTTCTGTTCAGTTTGTAATACTCCCGAAAACACTTCTACACTGATGGCTGTGACCGACTCAAGTTTTTGATCTAGATTCAATAGTGACTCCAAACAATCAAAACATGCTGTAGGACCCTAGTGCAGTCACTAGATTCACTTCAGTTCCTCCATGACAATCTGCGAGTAGATCTCTTTCAGTTTTCGTTTTCATCGCTACATTTCCAAACAGTATCGTCAGTTGCTTATGCTGTCTCGCAAGTGTTTTCACGCAGTCAGGACCCCCACACATATGGCCTTCTCGTCCGCAGACTTTCGCCAGACAGCTACCAGGTTTAACCCAGTCTTCTGGTCCCAGCGAGGCAACTGCACACTTTTCTCTCGGTTGCTCCTAGAGGCTGTAGCAATCAAGTTGTAGATGATGTTGAGGTCGCACAAATTGCAATCTGCATTTAATTCTCTCTGTACATCCTGCGTCATTCACAATATCGAATCAGCATCTGGACACGTGCACCATTATGGCTTCATTAACTCCCACACTACCATCAGGCTTGTTCTCAGTAACTCATCTGAGAATCTCAACACAAATTCCAATCTGTTGTCAAATTTTGGTATGGAAGGTGCAGTCACCTCTACTTCCAACACAAGCCCCAGTTTGACTGGCGGAGTTGCAATACTTCTTTTCGTCTATATCCTCGACAACCAGAATCTCGACAACACAGCTTGTTCATAATCGAATTAACAATCACATATGTCCTCCATGATGAAAGGATTATATGCCTTTCCAACAATTCCCGACAAATAGCGGTATGACTTATTTCTGATGGTTCATAGTAATCACTGGACTTCAGCAGTAACCCCTTCGATTCTTCCGTGAGCATAAGCTCCTTATTTGAGATTCTTCTGACTTGGTCGATCTTCTTCAAGGATTCCAGTTCCACAGGTTTTTTCATGTACGCACGCTTGGCTTGCTTTGGTGAATATCCAGCAGCAATTGTAAAAGCAAGGTTTTTGCTAGGTTACTGTCTTCTCTCAGTATCTTGGCACAGTTATTCAGCGCTGGTACCGACATTTGCTCCAACATGAACCGGACGAAATAGAGAGCGTCTCTCCGTTTCGCCCACGGTACCGCCGCTCTTTCACAAACCATAAGGTCTCTCAAACTCGTCATCAAGAGCACCTTCTCTTCTTTCGACCTTTTCCTTTCTTCCGAGTCATACTCTTCCATCGTCAGTCCCGTCTTACACCAAGCAAGTTTGAGTTACATCCCAGTTTTGACGTACGGTATTGCTATTAGAGCATGTATTTTTGGAGTGCTGCGCATTTCTTCTTCAAAATGACGTAGTACTACTACTCTCTACGGTAAGCTTATCAAATGATCCACCGTTTCCGTGTGCATTTCTGAAGAGATCAATAAGGTGTCCTCTAGCTGAAGTCCTGTATTCCCTGATCTCTATGTATTCACCGGCGGGCTGGTCTATCAAGACTGTGTCCGATATTGTCAATCGGTTATATTCCACTGCGGTCAGCTGTCCTATGACGCTTCCCTTTCCGTGACTCATGCATGACGCTTTAAAATCGCGAAAGGTACTCTCACCACTGGCTGAGTATTTCCATTTCTAGCGTAGCTCCACTAAGAGTGGCGGCCACTCCTTTTGGTCTTATAGCTGGCTAATCTTAATACTGCAATGAGGCACCATAATGACACCATCGTTGCAACGGTCATCGTTTTGGATATGCCATGCAATCTGTCATCGCCTTGCCCCATACCAATGACCCCTTTGACTTGCTTTCGTTTAGCTGAGTTGGCAGCCTTCGTTGGAGGATCAGAATCCATTTTTGTCTTTTCAGTTTTTCTTAACGTTACTTTGTTGCCCAAATTCATCTTCAAATCACTGATCTTGTCAATCACCATCTTCGAGCGCATCGTTTCCTTT